GAGTGCCAGCAAAGATGAAAGCAGCCCTGTGCTTCAGCTGTGGGTTTCCTACTTTTGAAGGATCATTAGCATGGCTTGGAAAGCCAGGACTTGCAAACCTCATGGTTGCCCCTTCCAAATTCACCTTTCATCTGGGCTTTTGGCAAGCCAGGCTTGCCAGGGAGCTTAGTTTTTCGGAAGGCTGTGAGCTTGGGCGGGGAGAATGCAAAGCTTCCCTGGGGGTCGAGCCATTCCCGCTGATTTATTCCTGTTTGCTAGAGGGATTTTGGTGTGTGGCCTAATTGTAGGACTTGAGGTTAGCAAATGAGTAGTTTATCAGGTTCCAAAACATTAGTGGTTGCTTACAAATGGTTCTTGCCGAAGCTAAACTGGACTGCAAACTTCCCACTTTTCTCCCTTTTGCTGGGAAGAAAAGTGGAAGCATTTTCCCCTTTGCATTTTTGTCCATATTTTTCATTGCCACTTCCAACTCTTGATGCTCTCTTAATGTAAACTATTGAATTTCTTGCTTGCTCTTTGCATGGCTGGGTGTTAGATAAGACGAGTGCAGAGATTGGGTTTTTATCTCAGGGTTTTAGCCCGATTAAATACATGGTTTTCCTGGGCAAGACGCGCAGGCTTTTGTGGTGTTAGCTCCATTGTGCACTTATTTGTGAAGCTCCCAATGAACTTCTAAGATCTCTGAAGCCAAAATGTGGTTTTTGTTTTATTTGTTGCATTTTTTTTGCTTTTTTTTAATGGACTGTTGAATTAGTTGGAATCTGTACTTGAGGTGTGTTGTTTCTTTATCTAAAGCCGAATGTTCTTTTTAGCCAGCGACTCCTTCAAAGCGAATTCCTCAGAGTTTGACATCAGCTTACGGTGAAATATTCACTCCCTGGCAAGGGAACACGATATTTTGAGGCCCTGTGGTTCCAATGCCCAATAATTAAGACTTACTGGGCCAGTTGACAGAGCTTGCAGCAGTGAGGGGTGAGGATTAAGCCGGGCTGAGCCCGGCGGGGATGACCTTAGGCAAGTCACTTGACTTTGTGCCTTAGTTTAACCTGGTAATAAATAGGTCGAGCCTGTGTCTGCTCTAATCTCGCTTAGGTTCTCCCCATTAAACAAGAGGGTGCAAACCCAGTAAAGCTAAAGTAGTGCTATGATTCACTCAGGTTCATGCTTTTATATGGATCAAAATATCTCCAACCTCCTGGGCTGCAAAGCGAGCTGTTTAACCAGTGTCCAAGCTCCTGCACTTGTTTCCCATTTTCCCAACTCCCTCCCCCAAAAGTCAATAAAGGCCGAGCAGATGAGAGCTCCACCTCTCTCAGCTCCACCTCAGCCAGTTAAAGCAAGCCAAAAAACCTGCTTTACTGTGATTTCAGCCATTGAAATTCAAAAGCAAACCCAGGCCGGCATTATCAGCTCGCACCAGATCTGCCTGCAGACAATAATTCTTCCTGCCTTGGCCCCCTGCCCGTGTGCATTATTGTAATTATCAGCAATTTAAAAAAAAATAAAGCAATAAAGCTAGGATGAGCTGCTAGGCTCTAGATTTACTGCCTGCTGTGTCAGACATTCATTAGCCTTCCTGGGTTCAGGCCACCTATCCCATGAATGCAAGCAGGAAGCAGAGAAAAACAAAAGCCTGCAACACAGTTTGAGGCACAAACTGGAAGCTCTGCTCGTCTTTACAAGGTAGAAACCCCAAACCTGGAGAATTTGAAGTGTTCTCTTCCAAAATTCCATAGGGCTCTTAAAGTGTTAAACTGGCGTGGGACACCGGGCTGCGGTGGTGGCACTTGGACAGGATGCGAATTGGGTCTTTTTTATAATCATGGGTGGCAATTGCAATTTAGCTGCATAGGGTCTATCTATAGATGGCCTTTCGAAGCAGCACGTTATGGGAACGTTTTTTCAGAAAGGTGGACCCGAGACTTCCTGCTGAGCTCCCTTCCTGCTCTGGTTTTCTGCCATAAACCCTCGGATTCTGGCTAATCTGATCAGCTGAGCAGGGTTACGGGAACGTTTAACCCCGCTGACAATTCAGAATGTAGTTAATTTAGATGTTCTGCAGATGAATGTAGTTAAATTTGACATTTTGCAGATATCTTTCTGCTCGCAAAAACTAATTTGTCTGCAAAACACAATGAGCACCTTTTTCCCTTGCTAAAGAGCAACTCTGGGCCCCCTTCTGATCTGGAGTCCCAGCAGCTCCCCAGAAAATATTCCCAAATAGCATTCCATTAAATAAGGCAGCCTGCTCCAAAAGATGTGATGCGAAGAGGTTTACCAAATCCTGGAAAAGGAAGGTGCGAGGGACAGGTATTTTTACACATATCTTGCCTTGATGGAAGGGAGCAGATGATATTTCCATCCCCTGTGATCTCCAGGGCTGGAATTCACGGGGAAGTGTGAGCTTAAAGGATTATGTTTGCTCCAAGAGTCTCGAGAGGCTCCAAACATTTTTTTTGCAGGGCAAAATGGGGCTGAAATGAGAGTTTGGCTCTGCCAGCCTGTTGTTTCTCACACCCTTTCCCAGCTTTGTGGATCGAAATTGGCTCTGGCAAATCCAGGTCCCCCATGCAGCCTAGTCTGGCTGTTAGTTCAGCCCCGCAGCGATCCTGCTTGGAAGACCAATTTGGGTTAAAAATGTCCCTTTCCTTCTGGTGTTATTTTTCAATGGAGCATCCAGATCTGCTTGACCAGGTTGCCCCGCATCGAACCTGCTGGCTCTGCTTGAAGAGGTTAGTAGTAAATCAGAGCCTGGACACTTAGGCAGAGACCCTTCCATCGGAGACGAGCAAGATTTAGAGGTCTGAATTCCAGGGTTTCGGCGCTGTACATCAGGCCCTGCCTGACAGGGTGAGGAATTTAACTGACATTAACCGACCGGAGATTTATGTGTTTATGGAATTAAATACTTCTTTTTTGTTGGGTTTTTTTTTTTTTTTTTGCTCTTGGAAAGCAAACTGGATTACAGAATGACACCAGAAGGCAGAGCGGCATTTATCACGAAGCATCTTATAAATTCAAGTGCAAGGGAGGAAGAGAATGGTTTATATAACACTTTTTTCCCCCCCTTCTCCAAATAACATTTGTCTCCTCATGTTTTGCCGTATATTAATAGGGTAAGAGTGATTAAAATGGTGCTCACCAAAGATGTGCAAAATTAAGCTCTCTGTTGACTTTTTAGTGACTTTTTGCTAGTTGCTCCCCAACCAGATGTAGCTGCTTCCATTTAAGGCTGGGAAATTCCCCAGAAAAATGTGCTCTCTGTTTTTCCCCTTATATTAAAGGCCATTGAGGAGGAATTAGATTACATCTGCACCAAAAGCAACTCGTCCACAATTTTCCTTTGCAGCAGAGTCCAAAGTGCGACCTCCACTCTTAGATTTTAAGTTCTTTTTTTCCCTCTGCTCTCTTATTACAGCTAGAATGGGATAAAAACGCCGAATTAGTGATAATAAACGGGAAAAGTTCCTCCAAGCCGCTCTCTTGCAGGCGCAGGGTCAAAGGTTTGAAGTCTTTCTATCAAAGTTCATTAACGTACCCAGCGAAAAGATTCCTGCCTGCGATTACAAGTGATGAAATCAAGCAAGTAATTAGCCTCGTTTGTGCAGCTTTGAATGGGGGGTTTGCAGGCGCCCGTAGCCAGGGCGACTGGCTGGATTGGAGGAGCGAATCCAGCTGGATTCGAGGAATCCCCGGAGCAGGGGGGACACCTCTGCTCCGAGGTGTCAAAGCGGAGCGAGACGGTGCAAATAAACAGGAGCCAAGTGGGTAAATAGGTGACTTCAGCGGGTCGGAATGTGTTTGAACAGGGCCTGTGTGCTGTTGTGCATGGAGCCCTCGTGGCCATTCCTGCCTCCTGGGATGGCAGGAATCCATCCCCCCTTTTACGTTAGGAGGATTTAACACGACATTTAAGCTGTTGTTAAAGCACAGGAAAGGAAGAAATAATTTGGAAGCCTTTTGCAACTTGAATGTGGATGCTGCTTTCTGATATATATAGCTTGATGTTTCATTACTTCGTGATCTGTGCTAGGATTCACGCTCCTCAACCTCTCCTGGCTGAAAGGGTTAGGAAAATAGAAACTGCTTGCAGTTAACATTTCTCTTTATGGCAGCCTGCTATTTATAATGTAGTTCCTTTTAAAAAAAACTTGAGCTGTTTCTTTTCTGAAGACAGAAATCTCTCTTTCCGTATCTTAAGCTGGGCTTACTCCCCAGGCACCCCTTGTGTTCAGCACTGCACGATCCCTCCTTCTGAGGGTTGCAAAGTCTTATCTCCAGGCAGTGGTTTTGTGTGTAGAAGGGGAGGGGAAGAAGGGGGCCGGTTTTAATGGAATTTTGTTTATTTTTTCCCTACTATGCAGCAGTTTGGAGCTGTGGGTAAATAGGAAGGCAGCTTTGGTGGCCTTTTAGCAGTGCTTTAGATTTGGGAGTTGCTCTGCTTCACGTCCCAAAGCCGGTTAAACAGGGAGAGGATGTTCCACTCCGGGGGACGCTTTCCACCTTTTGAATAAAACAGCAACTCTGCAATTAATTGAATCCCCTTTTTTAGTCTGGGTCAGGCAGCAGCGGTGCAGAACAGGAGCCTGACCTTGTTTTCATTGATCCGTCTGGAGTTTGACCAGGATGTCAGGCTGTGTCACCCAAGGAGGGGCTGAGGCTGCTGGGGCACCCGGTGGGAATCCTAGGGCATTTGCATGTGAAACCTGGCAGCACAAATATCCATCTGAATGGGAGAAAACAGGCTTTGCAGAGCCTAGAAGCCAACTTTGCTTGTAGGTCGGAGCAAGAAACTTGGGTCTTTCCATCCCAGATGTTTGAGGGCTTTGGGGGAAACAGATGACGTAAAGCTCTGAGCTGGCCTCATGCAGGGGGAAATAGTTATTTTATTATTATTAGCTCTCTAAGAAGTCACCAGAGCCTTTCTGGTTCTTTGAGCTCTCCTGCTTGGCGTGAGCTAAAGCAATCAACATATTTTGCTTTTTTTTTTGTCTTTGCAGGCACTCGCAGCCAATGCTGGGACAGGCTTTGCCGTGGCGGAGCCGCAGATCGCCATGTTCTGCGGGAAGCTAAACATGCACGTGAATATCCAGACTGGGAAATGGGAACCGGACACCTCGGGGACCAAGAGCTGCCTTGGAACAAAGGAGGAGATTCTGCAGTACTGCCAGGAGGTGAGGTCCTCCTCTGGGATCTTGGCTCTCCGTGTGATGCTTCCTCTTCACTGCAGCTAAGGAGTTGGATGCTAATTCAGCCGGTCACTAGAAAACTAACCACACAGGAGAGTCATTTTTGACCAGCTCAGGTTCCAAACTGTCGTGCTGATGATTGCCTGAGAGGAGCAAGGGGAGTCAGAAGGTCCCTCTCACCTGGCATCAGCTTCGCCCAAGGTTCTTGCTGGGCGCACATGGGGACACAATCAGATCAGCTAGGACGTTAGGAAAATATTTTCATTCTGAATGTTGGCAGGATTTTTGAGCTCTTTGTGCCTCATTATGAACCCTTAAACTCCTTTCGTTATGCTCCATATACTGTAGCACGTCGCCCTTGAAAAGGGTGTTTAATTATAATATGTAAAACACCACAAGGAATGCTTTTTTCCTTTTTAATAAGGAAGAAGGTGATAGAGCAGGCCGTGTTCCTCCTGGAAAACTTTTAGAGCAGGTTTTCAAGGCTGATGGAACTGCGACTGGGTTGTGGTCACGTAGCAGAAGCCTAAATATAAGTCAACGTCTAGACTGGAGAACCTGACTTGAGTGGGACGTGGGGGTCACATGAATATGTTCTAAAGGGAGACACGAGGAAACCTGAGGAGTTAGGTGGGTGTTTGCTTGACAAATGTGTGTCCACGTGCAAATGGGAAGCTTGGTTTCATCTAGAATTGCCCCCTCAGTGCTTGTCTGGAGCCTCTTTTTTGCCTTCTCTGGATAGAAATTTCTCTGTCGGCCTTTTACCCACAGATGTATCCAGACCTTCAGATCACGAACGTCGTGGAAGCCAACCAACCTGTCAGCATCGAGAGCTGGTGTAAGAAGGGGAAGAAGCAGTGCAAGGACCACACTCACATTGTCGTGCCCTACAAGTGCCTAGGTGAGCACGAGCTGGGACTCCCAGTCCTCCGCGTAGAGATGAACTTGGCCATCCTACAGCAAGGGAGCCCTGGAATTGCCCTCTGGTTTCTTTGAGAGGGGGCAGATCCATTTATTCTCTCATGTCGGGTTGCCATTTCCGTGTCCAGCCTCCACTAAAGCTTCCCCGAGATGGAATTTGGCCTTCCTTCCAGCGGATCGACAGCTTGGGAACAGCTGGGTTGGAAGAAGGGTGCCTGGCGTGAAAAAGAAATCCCCCTTCTCTCTGCAACTGCCTTCAAAGCCTGAAGGCCATTGTGTTTGAGTATCACAAAGACGTTGGGATTTAATGCTCTGATCCTATTTTTGTGGCGCTTTTAATATTTTGTTGCCTTGGAGACTTAAATACTCAGTATGTTCAGGCTTCCTGCTTTGGTCTTGGCAAGAGATTCCTATTCTGTTTCAACTGCCTATATTTAAACCTCGTTGTTTCAAAGGGGCCCTGCTTCTTGCAGCTGTAGCCCATGTCCCCGCTTTGAACTGGGGCAGAATATTAGGTGAACAGGGATAGATTTCATTGTGCTTCTGGGTGTCTCTCCCCCAGCTTGAATCGGGCAACGTGATTTATTTTATTGACCCTCACCTTTTGTCCAGAAGGTTGTGACTAACGCTGCGCATCCTTAGTACTAAGCTTAGTCTCAGCTGGCTGGATCCCTTTCCCAGTTGTCCGTTGGAAAAGACTCTCTTAACTCTTTGCAAGAAGTCTCCTGCTGTCTTGAAGGGTCAATTGGACACAAGAGAACACAGAAATAGAGGTTTTTATTCCCTCACAGGTATCACCTTTCCCTACAAGATCATGAAGCACTTCCTAAGCACTAAATTTTATGTGGATACATTGTGGGAAGAAGGTGCTACTCTAACTTCATAAACAGGGAAAATCAGATTTGAGCAGCTAGAAAGCCCAGCTGATTATGCCAAGCGCTTCAGTGGAAATAAGGATAAAAGAAAGATCCGTGGACTTATAACGTGTAATCTCTTTTGGGAATAATCCTTTTCCGAGCATATTCTTCAGCTGAAAATTAAGCTGATTTTAGTGACACTGCGCTAAAATGTGATGAGCACCAAACTTTCTCTTAAAAGCCTTAATTGGAGTCTCCTCTCACAAAGGCTTTTCCCTTGCCAGGCCATCTTGTAGCACAATTCCTTTTCCAGCCCCGAGTTGCATGTGCATTTAAAAAAACCCTCCCCCATCTCCTTATAAAGAGCCCAAATTGCGCGTTTTAAACGAACGCTGCCTCTCTCGGGAGGAAAGTATGGTTTTTTATTAGATCCAGAGGACTTTTTGTTGTGTTGCTGCTTGTGCCTTCCCTGCCGCAGCTCTATCTGAGGTAGGATTTTGCTCTCAGCCCTTGTCGGCCACATCTCCCCCCAGCAGGAAAGCTCTTTTGTATGGCCCAGGCGCCCGAGGAGAACCCATCAGCGCTCTCACTGAACTGTAAAATAAAGGTAACAATAGGATGATGGCAGCAGGGCTGAGCCTGCTGAGGTGTGAACAGACAAACTGCTGACAGCCCTGGCTGCGCTATTAGACGGCGTGGAAGCACCTCATCTGGCCGACTCTGAAAAGGGTTTTCTCTTTATTTATTTATTTTATTAGCACTGGTCACGGAGGAGGAAGGTTTCCCAGTAAATGTCCAGCGTAGGATGGATTTTCGTGCCCAAACTGAACTGCAAGAACCTGCCATGTCTCTTATCTCAGGTTACTGGGACTCCATCCTTTTGAAAACAGCTCTTTCCATCACTGCCCTTCATTATTCAGCATCATTTCTGGTCAGTTTGAGCTTTCTGCCTTTGCACCCTCAGAACCACAGGCGCTTGATCTGAGAATTTGCTCAGTTCTTAATTTCAAAGGCACATCAGGAACTTAAAGAGAGTAATATGCTACTCATTAGAGAGGCTGAGGAAGACCAGTTGATCTCATCATCTTGTAACATCCGCATCTTTTTAGGATATCTAGATAACTACTTTAAAATTACTGCAAGTGGAATCTAAATCTCGAAGAGAGAAGGTAAAAAATGGCAACTCGTGCAGATATTCACATTGTGGATCCTGGTTTCAGTGTCTGGTAGGACTTCTGGCCTGAGAACTCAAGGCAGTTTTCATCCTGGACGTACTTCTGATACCGATATGATGAGTGTCAGCACTGAGCAGGGTTGTGGAGGCTGTTCAGGCTAAATAGTTCATCCTGTTAACTCAGAGTCTCTTACTCCTTCCTCAAAAGCAGAAGTCTGGCCTTAAGGTTTATCCGAAACTAACTCATGCAGGTCAGGTTGTGTTCCAACATCTAGATAACAGCATGCTTGCTGACTCTGGCTTTACTCTGCTTTTTGTGCTACGCATTTTCCAGCTTGGTGTGTGTTGCTTAGGTCTGTCCAAGCTGAGGAATGTGATGCAGTTGATCCCGACTCAAGTCCTCTGGATACTGTTAACAAGAAAAGCAGACAAGACTCGCTCAGATATCCAGATACTGGAAACGTAGATTTGCAGCATAGAAAACTTTCCGGAGCGTTGCAGTAACAGGCAGCATGGAAGCTTTTGTGTAGCACAACTGTTTTCAGTAAATTTTCATAGATAGCTGCTGGGCTGTGTGCATTAAAAATAATATACCTTACACAAACGTTAAAGGCACTTAAAAGTAAGTGTCCTTGGGGGAGTTTCGACAGCGACTTTATCTCCGTTTGGAGGTTGCATGTGTGTGACAGGAGCTAAACTCTGGATCTTTCTTGCTTTGCAGTGGGGGAGTTTGTGAGCGACGTGCTGCTGGTTCCAGAAAAGTGCCGATTCTTCCACAAGGAGCGGATGGATGTGTGCGAAAGCTACCAGCACTGGCACACGGTGGCCAAAGAGGTAAGTGAGCCCTTGTGACCAGCAAGTTGATTTGGGCCCTGCCTGCTTTATGCCTGTTTTATAAATGCTGTCTCAGTTATTACAGCATTGGAGCAGGCCAGGGTTTATCTCTGGAGTGTGTTGTTCCCATGTTCGAGCCTATGAACCAAGGCCAAAAGCAGCATAAAATGTTTCTCAAGTGGCTCCAAATCCCATGTACCGAGTTATTCTTTGCTCTTAGAGAGCTGCCCTGAAGGAACTTGCCCAAAATCCCGTTCTACCCTGGAGCTCAGAAGTGTAATCAGGTCCCTGGGATGCCACTCCAACCCGTAACCATCCCTCCCAGGGGAGCAGACTGGGCGGAGGGTGTTTCATGTTTCTCTTGCCCATTTTGTGGTGCTCTAGCTGGGGATTTGCTCGGGTTTGAGAGCTTGCTTGGGGCCACCACAAAGTGTGTTGTGACTGTTCAGTGCAGCTTTGACGTAAGAGGCAGATTATCCTCTCGGAATAAATCTCCCCCCCACCCAATCTTTTTAATCCGGCTGGTAAAAAATGTTACGAATTCTCTGCACACTCATTTCAGCTGAGGGTAATACAGACTAAATTTAGATGTTTGCTGTTCTGTAGAAACAGCAACATAACGTTTAAATTCCACTGTCACTGGTAGGAAAGATGAGGCGAAGGAAGCGCCAGCTAGAGCTTCCTATTGCTTTAATTTCAAGGGAGCAAAATCCTGTCTTGATTCAATAACCCTGTGCTAGAGGAATCACCTTTTAACAGAGAAACTTGCCAGTGTCTTGAAACATTAAAACCAAGATAAAAACCATTTTCCTTCGACATAGTTGGAGAATTTTTCTGGAAATATTTGGATCGCTTTTACAGCGAGGCTTTAACAAAGCAAAGCTCTGAGGAGATCTGATGCATGCAAGAAAGCCCTTTTTACTTCATTTTTTTTCTCTAACCCCATAAACCCCCTGTATTTCTTTAGTTAAGAGCAATGCATTAATGTGCTGCCTACTCACAATTCACATTTGACTTCTGCTTGATTTATCCGATTGATTTTCTCCGTCGGCCGGTGCAATAATCTTGACATAAAGTCCATTTAAATAATTTTTCACTTACTCCAATATAGAGAGAGAAAGGTTAATGAAATGACCAGTGCAAAAAGCAAACAAGGGCAGGTTGGTTTGAAGCGATTTCGCCCGTGTGTTGACACAAGATCCAGAGCTTAACCAGGCTGAAAATTCAGCATTTTTAGGGGTTGCATCTGATAAACTCGCAGCAGGAACCTCTGAATTTGAGACCTCTCCAGGTTCAGCCTATTCTGAGCAGGTCTAAGCCCCCTTGGACTAAAATGTGCTCCCCTTGCAGGCGTGTCTCACGGAAGGGATGATCCTGCACGGCTATGGAATGCTGCTGCCCTGCGGCGTGGACCAGTTCCACGGCACCGAGTACGTGTGCTGCCCTCAGACCAAAGCGGCAGAGGAAGCCCCTTCCAAAGAGGAGGAGGAGGATGAAGACGAGGAGGAAGACTACGACCTTTATAAGAGGTAGGCTTCTTAGCTAAGAAACGTGGTTTCTACAGCAGATGAAAAGAATTGTTTCTGTAGTGCCTCCAAGGTTGGCTGCAGAGCTTTTAGCAGTGATTTCCCCCTCCTAACTGAACTGTATCCCTTCAGCGAGTTCCCTACAGAGGCAGGTGTCGAAGACTTCACAGGGACAGCTGTGGAGGAGGAGGAGGAGGAGGATGAAGAGGATGAAGGGGAAGAGGAGGAGGAGGAGGAGGATGTGGTGGAAGATCGTGATTACTATTACGACAGCTATAAAGTAGACGATTACAACGAAGAGACCCCCACGGAGCCCAGCAACGACAAGGCTCTCTCTGACAAAGAAGTCAGCAGCGACATGAAGTGTAAGTCGCCTGCTCGCTTCTCGGCGCGGGTCGTTTTGATCACATCCATCAATGCCGCTTTGGGTGTTTTATTTGCCACCTAAATTAGCAGACAGCGGCAAGCTGATGATGCTCGTGTTTGGAGGGTTGACGGTGGCTCTTGTGGGCCACGTGATTCCACCGAACGGCAGCTTTGCTGGCAGGAAGCCCCGCGCTCGGCACGTTGAACAAGCACCTCCGCAAAGGTGCAAGGTAGAGTCACAAACAGCATTGGCACAAACCACTTTTGGAAACGCTCGGGGCTTCCAAACACCATGACTTTAAAACTGTAGTATGGAGTGATTACCTTGGATGAGGTGCTTAATACCCCAGTTACAACAAGGAAGCTAAAACTGATGGGGCAGCTTCTAAAAAGGTGGCATTAAGGTGGCTTCTGGCCTCTGGATGGCAGTGCCTTCCAGCCTCCGTGTTAAGCGGCCAGAATTGGACCATGGAAAACGATCCAACACTCTTGTTCCATGTTTATTCTCCAAGTGTTTTCCTGTAGCTTTTGTCTAGGGGCAGGAACCATCGCTAAGAGCATCTGCTGATTGTGTGGGGCCCCCGTGGCACGGAGGCGCCCTGCGTTTTGTGCGTGGAAGTGTCTGCAGAGGAAGGAAGGAGGAGGGGAGAGGGAATGAAATTCAATTAGCTTCAGCTCACTGAATCATTGCCAGCACTTCTTGCATCTCGTTGGGAAAACGCCAGCGTGCTGCAGATAATTTTACTTGCTGAAACGAGGCTTAGATCATGCACGTACAGGGGGCTTGCAGGTGTTGAAGCACACCCGGAACGGGGTGGTTGGGGTGTCTGTTTTGGGGGCACACAGCCCATTTTCCTGACTTGCTGCAACCAATTGCTAATATATAGGGTGTATCCTGGCCCTTGGCTGCTAGTTATGAAGGAGCCTGCTGCTGCATGATGTGCCACGGCTGCCCCAATTACTTTGGGCTTCCGTATTTATCCGTATCCTTCCAAAATTTTAAAACCTACCGGGCAAGGCTGCCGCCAGGCTGACGTTCCGGGTCCTTCACCTGCCTTTTCCCTTGCTGCTCTAGCCGTTCACCTCCAAGACATCCACTTTCCCCCCGGCGCCTCCTCGAGGGCTTTAATCTGCCCTCCCAGGCCTCCTTTCCTGGGCTGTAGCTAGCGGAGGCCGAGGGCGACGGGAGCGGGCGCCGCTGCAGAACCGTAAGTCGCCCGGCGAGGCCTCGTGCTCCTCCCCAGCTCACGCTCTGCCCCGTCTCCACAGCTGTCTGCTCGCAGGAGGCGGTGACAGGGCCCTGCCGCGCCGTGATGCCGCGCTGGTACTTCGACCCTAACAAGAGCAAGTGCGTCCGCTTTATATACGGAGGCTGCGGAGGCAACAGGAACAATTTTGAGTCAGAGGAGTATTGTGTGGCTGTGTGTAAAAAGATGAGTAAGTCCTGTCTCCTGCCGGCCCCTTTTTTGCAGCTCGCTGCTGTCTGTCTGGTGTCTCCTCCTCGCCCAGGGCCGCGTGTGTAGCCTGTCCTCTGGGTCCCGGTGTCTGCAGCAGCTCCGTGTGTCCTCTTGCAACGGCCTCCTCTTGTCTCTGCTTCTCTAGCTCTCTGGGTTTGACTTCCCCCGGTGCAAGTGGCTGCTCGCCGTGTGTCCGCGCTGCCCTGCGGGGCCTGCAACCCTTACCGAGGGCTTGGTGACCATCTTTTGCATCCAGAGCAGGGACCGGGGCCTGTCTCTAAGCTCTTTTTAGGAAAACACCTAGTTTGTTTGTTTTCCTAACCAGCTCTTTTGCCAGATATCTTCCCCTTGCTCTCCCCACTCACATTATCTTGCATATATTTGACCCACGGGTCCTGAAAAGCAGGCTGCTAATGGCCATTCTCCCGGTAGTCGACCTTTCCTGGCTATTATATTTTGGGAAAGCATCGGAAAAATCCTGTGGAATTCAGGTGTCCGCTTCCAGCTGAGCTTGAAACGTGAATCCTGACTGGATCCTTGCCTTTTTGAGAGCTTGAAGGTTTTGGCCCCCTGGCTTTTATGTCAGATGCTAAAACTACCAAAACCGTTTTAACCTCCGTATTAATCTTATTGTTGAACTCCAGCACTTCCACTCCAGCTACCACTAAAGCCTTTTGAAAGGCTTTTTGTGTTATCTGGGGCTTGGCAGGCTGACTACACGGCCGTAATCCTGTTTACAAAATGGGCTTCATGCGAGTGCTTTAGATGGGGCTGATCTAACCCAAGCGCGGAAAGAAAAGATGCGGATGTCAGGCGCTTTCCATGCAACAGTTTGCCTTGTTGCAGAGGGATTGGGGGCTGCGAAGAGACTTCTGTGTCTCTCTGGTTCCGAAATGCCATGGGCAGACCGAGAATCCAGTCCTCAGCCCCTTGCATGCAGAAATAATGCTTGTTTTGAATGGGCTCAAAGTTCCTTCCCCATCTTCACTCCTCGGTCAGAGCAAAGGCCTGGGGATTTAGTGCGTGATTTCTTTTTTTCCCCCCCTATATTCATGCTGTATTTGCCCAGGGTATTTCTGTGGTTGAAGCTTCTGGTGAGATGGTGGAGGGTTCTTCTACCCGAAGTGTGAAACTGGTTGAAGAATTCCCATAAATTCCTACAAATGACCTCCCTGCGTGAACGTTGCAGCAGTGGGGTACCACAGGGATTCTCTGAGAGGACTTCGGGGTGCCTGGTGCCTAAACCGAAGCACAGAAACGTGGTTGAGTACGTCCCACATGGCAGCGTGTGCGGGCAGAGGCTCTGTCACGGGTTCTGCAGGCGCTTGAGGCCGTCACTTGTGCCGTTTTATTGCTCTTGGTGCTGGATTTGAGTGTCTTAAAGATCCAAAGCTTCCAGTTTATTGGACAAGTGAATTTGTCTCGCTGAGCCTCCTTCTGTTGCTGTCTTGTCTGATATCGTTGCCCATTACTCCTGTATGGTGCATCTGGTAGGGAAGGTAGGTTGGAAGTGTAAAATATTGGGTAGTGCTTAGTGCAGATTCACTGTCAAGCTCCCTAATCATATTAATGATGTCTGGAGCCAGCTTGTCAGTGAGCAGCTAATGCACAAAATGTCATTTGAACTATCCAAAGCCAATGTGAAAGGGAAGAGGAAACAAGTGCCTCATTCTGCAGTCCAAGGCATTTGCTGGAGCTGAATAATGCTGCTCTGAGAAGCCATAGGAAGGTGCTGGGTGCCGCGGTGCATTGCTCTGTAGTTGGGGTGATGTAACCAACTGATGTTGGGCAGTAAATTGGCAGCCTAAAGATCCCAAAAGGGGCTCTTGGTAGGTGGCAGCTCAGTAAATGCAGCCTGCCAGCTTGTTAATTCTGCAGGCACGAAGATTCCTCTCCCTACCTGTCCTTTGCCATCCAGGAGCAGAGTTTTCTGAAGCTCTTTCATTTTATTTTATTTTATTTTTTTTTTTTAAATCTCTACCTTCTCTTTCAGTGCCCACTGATGATGTGGATGTGTACTTCGAAACGCCGGCTGATGACAACGAGCACGCCCGCTTCCAAAAAGCAAAGGAGCAGCTGGAGGTCCGACACCACAACCGCATGGACCGGGTGAGCTTTAATTCAGCTAAAATATTGGAAGAGAAATCGCTGGGGATGCTCAGTTTGCCGCTCAGAAGGGCCAAGTGCTAAGTTGAAGCCCTTTTGTGCCTGCAGCACCTGGCTGTGCTATGCCAGAATCTGCCTATGAAGTCAAATTAGCCCCCCAAATGAGACAGAACTGTGGGTCGTGTTATAAAATGCTCCGTTTTCCTTATTCAGGTAAAAAAGGAATGGGAGGAAGCAGAACATCAAGCCAAGAATCTCCCCAAGGCAGAAAGACAGACTCTCATTCAGGTAAGAGTGGAGGAACCCAAGGAGCAAAGTTGCTGGTGTTTGTCCTCCTCGCCTCGGCGAGCTGGAGGAGAGATGCTAATATTCAAAGCCAAAAACAGGCTGAAATGGAAAAATAGCTTTTCTGTTCCGTCACCAGTTGCCTCTCAGAGGACATTGGACTCCAATTGCGTGTGTTATTCCCGAAGCTGGAGATGATCTGATGTTGTGCCAGGCCCTTTCCCAAGGCCAGTAATAGGAACCTAACCCAGCCTGCGAGCGTGGTGACAACAGAGCCAAATTGTAACCTTAGACCTTTGGCCTGTTCTGCAGTAAAAATTGGCCTCGCAGCCCCGTTCGGTTTGGCCAAGGCTCTCTGGACACCCGCTTCCTGGTTGGGCAGAGTTACTGAAAGCCATTTAGACAGCAGATGAAGCTGATTTGCTGCCAAAATGCCAGTCTTCTGCCTTATGAGAAGAATTTGGATAGCCCGTGGAGTTAATCGGGGGTAATCAGGGCATGGGGTTGTGAAGGGCAGGCTCCTCTGGCAGTCAGAACTGTACGAAATTCCCTCAAACCAACATACAAGTGAGTGACTGGCTCCAGCTTTTAAGCCCACCTCACTTTTCCGTCCTGGAACACGATATTCTCTCCCTTTTTTAAAATAATAAACCACTATTGGAATTCCGTCCAAGTCCAAAATAGTTTTCCATCGTCCGTGCTGTGATATAACATCTAATGGGCTGTTCTGATCCATTTGGAGATGCTGCAAATGACCATCCTAGTAGGACATGGGGAGATTTGATCTGAATGTACCCTCTGCAAGGCCCCCAGCTTCTGCTTCGTTGCCTCATGGCTCTAGGGTGAAGGAAATCTACCTTGTTCCTGTTGCACAGGGTGGAGGGAGAGATTTGGTCATTTGTTGAGCTGAAAGCTCTGGACTTCCTGACTGCAGAGCTGGCGTTTTTCTCTGCACAGCCCTGTGACCTCTTCATAGACCTTTGGAACTGGTTCCGAGGGACCTCGGAGAGGAGTTTGAAAGGCAAATTGCCACTATTTAGATTGCAAATACGAAATGTGCATTAACATCTATTCCTGGCCCTTCTCTCCTACCATAAAACCCTATAACGTGCAAGGTGGGAACAAGCTTCTAGAGCAATCGGTGAGTAAGCACCCCTGAGAAATGCAGCCTTTCCTGCAGCGCCGTGTTCTTTCCCTACAGCACTTCCAGGCCATGGTTAAATCCCTGGAAAAAGAGGCCGCAAGCGAGAAGCAGCAGCTGGTGGAGACTCACCTGGCCCGGGTGGAAGCGATGCTGAACGACCGCCGCCGGATCGCCCTGGAGAACTACCTGGCAGCCCTGCAGGCCGATCCACCCCGGGTAGGTCCTTTGGGAAAGGTGTTTAGGAGGAGGAAGCCCCGGGCAGACCTTGTTGTTCCCTCCTGCTGCTGTTCTGTACTCGCCGCTCACTTGAAAAACCCTCCCCGCTGCTCACGATACACGGTGTTCCGAGTCAGAGCCGGGGAAAAAGAGATTATCCCAAGTGCTGAACACGAGGGATTGCTCTCCCTGCTTGCAAAGCTGAATCCCCCCTCAAGTGCTCTCTTCCAGCTGTCGTTTTTTGACTCCACGCGTTTTGAACTGTGCTCCCCTCCTCAATCCCGCAGCCCCACCGCATCCTGCAAGCTCTGAAGCGCTACGTGCGTGCCGAGAACAAGGACCGCCTGCACACCATCCGCCACTACCAGCACGTCCTGGCAGTTGACCCAGAAAAGGCTGCGCAGATGAAATCTCAGGTAGAAGAGATGCTTCCATCTCGGGTGGAAGGATGTTTTTTCTGTCGAGGGAGGCTTTGTCACCCCGCAGAGTTTCCTCCCGCTGATTCGCTGGGTGCTGTAGCGACCTGACGCCCTTGCACGCTGAGCTCCTGGTCTCTGGGCGTTTTGCCTGTCACCAAATTTGCCATCCCAGCATTTTTCCTTGCTGCATAACCCAATATTAGAGATCTAGCATTGAGATATTACCTTGGTGCATCCCTTCTTAAGCATGGATTGTTACTGGTTGCAATAATAAGTCTAGGAGTTGAGCTATTTCAGTATCCCTTTTGCATCTTGGGTTTTTTTCAGTTTCTTCCAAGACCTCATGTCTAAATGATTAGTCTTTTCCTTCATGATCCCTGTGTGTTAGGTGGGCGAATCCATTTCTGTGAAGCCCCTTCTAAGCGGAGTCTTGTTGCCTGTGGCCACTTTCTCATCTCCTAACCTTGCCAAGCAGTTGGCTAGAATTGCTAGTTTTAGTAGCAAATCTATTTTGATGAGTTTGTTATCCATTGCTGCAACGTGCTTCTCTCCTGAATACCCCGAAAGTCATTTTTCTCCTGCTGGGAACGTGCATAACTTGCTTCAAATGAGCATCGCATCCAGCCAGTGTCATATTAAGAGTAGCCCCAGATATTCCACAAACCTTTTGAGATATCTGCTGGCTTTTTGCCGCTGAGTTTTCCTTCTTACCGAGCTGTCTGTCCTCAGAGACACTGGTAGTAGCTGTGAGGAGCAGAGCTGAGGTGCAGGTATGTGCCGGTGTTTCCAGAGACAGCTCAATGCATCACACACATTCTGCCCTGACCCTTTGTTCGGCAGCTCAAACCTTCCAACGGGCCTTAATTCACTTGGAAGGCTGCAGTGGCAACAAATTGACATGCAGAGGATGTGGGTGGTACTTTTCCATGGCCATTTGCTCCGTTTTCCAGGTGCATTTTGAGCTCCGCGATCGATTGGCTTGATTGACAAGCTGCCACGTGTAAAATTAAATGGCTTTCATCCTCGCTCTTAAAGGTCAGGTGCACGGCAGCCTGTAAAACAGGTCCATGCAGCTCCGTAGCTTCCCCCAACGTTGGGCCATCCATATTGATGTTCCTTGGTCCCTATGATCCCTGATTACGCAGCACCCTCTGCAGGTCAGGCGTGACTTCATCCCTGTGTTTTGTGCAGGCAAGAGGGCCTGGAGGTTGCACGGAATTTCCATTCGTGTCTCATGGGTGAGGACAAGGCAGCTGCCAGCCTAGGATGCAGGGGGTATAAATCAAATGTTGTTCTGAAAGGCACCTTCCTTCTTGATAAGCAATGTAGTCTGCTCCGTGTGTGTCTGCTGCTAGTCAAGGATGAAAATTCATTAACGAAAACACTTGTAGCTGCATACAATGAGCGGTGACAGCAGCCAGGGCAGGGGAAATAGTTTCAGTGCTTTCCCTGGAAAGCTGGTTATAGCAAGAGCCTGCTGAATCCTTTCCCTCGTCCCCAGCCCTCTGAAAATACTGAAAGAGCCACTGTACAAATGGCCAGTTCCAGCAAAGCATGAAGTATTAGAAAGCATCAGAACGTTGGACTAGATGAATCTAGTGCCCAAATACTGTCTGTCGTGGCACGTCCAGCAGTAGATATTTTATTTAATATCTCAGGTACCAGAACCTATCAAGGAACTGAGAGCTTCTGCCTCCTCCAACGCATCTTGTGTGTTTACAGGTGATGACACATCTCCATGTGATCGAGGAGCGGATGAATCAAAGCTTGTCCCTGCTCTACAAGGTGCCGTATGTGGCTGAGGAAATCCAGGATGAGATTGGTGAGTGGCTCCCGCGCCAGCATATTAAGCTAGGATATCGTATCAAGCGAAGTGAGCTCCGCAATCCCATTTTCCCAACATTTCTTGCCACTCCAAACCTCTTGGCCCTTATTTATTTGTTTTTTCCAGCCTGTGGACTAGAGCAGACGGGAGAAGATAACACGGCAGCCCTGAGCAGCGGTCCCCTGCAGCTCTGCCACGCTCAGACTCTGCCCCTTTCCCTCTCTGCCAGGCTTTGTGCAGCCTGTGCAAGGTTTTTCTCCCCTTCCTTTCAGATGAGCTGCTTCAGGAGCAACGTGCAGACATGGACCAGTTCGCCTCCTCCATTTCTGAATCCCAGGTGGATGTCAGGGTGAGCTCTGAGGAGAGCGAAGAAATCCCCCTCGAGGGCAAGCCCTTCCGTCCATTCCAGGTGAAAACCTTCCCAGCCCTGTCTGAAAACGAAGGTAGGTGGAACTGCAAACGGGGCTTCTTTCCCTTTACAGACCCTTTTTTGTAGCCCAGCTCCATGGCATAGGATGCTCCATCCCTTTGGGTCATTCAGGAGCACAACAGTTGCCTTTATGGGTACCCATCAGACCCTCCTTTTGAAGGAGGCAGCACTGCTGCTAATGTGCCACTGATTTGACTTCCCAATTCATCCGTTTTCAGAATTATTTTACCTCTTTCCATTTTGCAGAGAGCAGGGCTCTTTCTTGGTTGTTTTGTTTTATTTTTAACCGTGTGACTCGATTCTGGAATTTCTTTTCAGTCATTAAAATGCTCTCATCTAATGGTAAGCCTTTTGTGCCGTGATCTGCTCGGGAGCTGCAGGAATTCCCTTGTTTTTCCCCCCTTTCTAATAGATATCTGGTTTTCTATGTCAACGGGTGTTGACAGCTGGCGTGTGCATTTATATCAAAAATGTTTGAACAGAGTTCGGAGCTTAAAGAAAGCTGTAGCCTAAAAGCTTCTCCCAGGGTCTGACTCAGAAATCACGCGCAAGCCTTTTTTCCTTTCTCTCTTAATCTCCTTTCTCTGCTATTTTTGTTTTTGTTTTCCCTCCTGCTAGATCCTCAGCCGGATTTGTACCATCCAATGAAAAAAGGTTGGTTCTAAGCTGCTCCCTCACAGTGCTCTCTGTCACTCTCCTACCTTCTCAGTGCGTCCGATAGCTTCATTTTAGTTTCATTCTCACCTTTCTTTTCATGACCCTTCTGTCATCTAGATCAGCAGCTCCTGATTTTGCTTGTTTAGGCCTTGTGTTTTTAAAGAAATGAGCTAGTCTTGAGTATTTGATTCTGTGTGTTCCTAGAAACAACTGTTTCCTTTAGCAACAGTCTAGAGGCTGCTCTGGTGCTGAGGAATCTGGAATTTCCAGCAGGAAACCAGGAATGAGGGTGCTCCCACAGAGAGGCTCGTTTCCCGACTAAATGCCCTCAAAGATATCCCAGGAATTGAGTTAAGCAGCCACAGGCCAACGAGCTGACGCAGGAGGTCTCTCCGAAGTGTTCGTGGCCCAAAAATGTGCAGCGTTAGTTTTCCCGATAACGGGAAAGGAGCCCTGGGAAGTCAGCCCTGGCTGTGCCTGGGACCTGATGACTGCCTGCAAAGAGCAGGGAAAGGGGATGCAGGAAACCCCTATGTTCCTTTTGCCGCTTTTGCCGAGAAAAGGCCCCAAAAGCGCTCCTTTTGAGAGGAGCTGGAGTGAAACATGAGTTTCCTTGGCATTTTCAGGCGATAAAACCCGTCTTGGTCCCGACTTGCCTTGCAGCCCATTACCCTTTCCGTGCATGTCCCCGGAGGCCACGTGCCGCTTGGTGCAGCAGGTGACGTAGTGTCCTGGCTAACCTGCAAGCTCAGCAGCTTGCGGGGAGCTGGTTGCAGTGCCCTGCAAAGCATTAAGTGCTGGGGTTACATTTTCCCCACCTTGCGTTGGCCCTTGGAGATGCCCTGATGGAGGGTTTTGGCTTCGTTGACCTCCTGCTTTGGCTGCAGGGAGATGCAGAGGTTCTGAAGGACGTTCTGCACGTGCTGGTAACGGGGAACTCGCGTCTCCCACCTCCTCGTGTTGCCATAGGGTTGAGTATCTTACATGGCCTCCTCTTTTTATTGATCTGCTGTGTTTAGAAGTGTTTCAGATCAAAGCAGTTCATGCAGAGCAGCCTTCTCTGAAGGGCTCTTTTTCTCTGGAAAAATAGCCAGTGATTTGGGCTCCTCCCTCGCCCCGGGGTTTAGTGCTCTGGGCTGGTGCCAGGAATGGGACAGCAGCTCCTCGCAGCGGGGCTGGTGACCTTGACACGTTCTCATTCCCGAGGCGATTCCTGGGTATCTAAGGAGTTGGACGGTGCTGACTGCGCGTCGGAAGTGTCCCCTGGCTCGCGGGGGTCACCCCGCAGAAAGGAATTAGATGCTCACAGCTCATCCCAGCAGCTGCCTTTAACGGTGTGATATTTCTGGGTTTACACCAGTGTGTTGTGGTACCTGCTCCCCTCATTGCCACCTCATTTCCTCCCATTAACAGACCCCCCCCCATGTCGCTTGTCACCGTAGCATAGCTTACGAGCCCCGCTTCTGACACAACATCACGAAGACAGATTAATAAGCAGCAGCCCGTGCCGTTAAACGCAGTAGCCATGGCAAGCTCTGTAAAGTAGGTAGCCCTTCCTAAACGTCACCGCGTGACGCCCTTCGCCTTCGCTCTCTCGGTGCAGGTTCCGGCATGACCGAGTTGGACGGGCTGCTCGGCGCCGAGGAGAAAGTCATAAACAGCAAGAACAAAGTGGATGAAAACGTGGTGAGCCCCTCCAGCTTTCTTTTTGCAAAGCGGAGCCCGCCGGGGACGCTCATTAGCAGCAGCGGCTTCTCTCCACGTCTCCTTCCTGCCTGCAGAATGTCACTGTGCCCGCTCTCCATCTGGTGTGGGGGAGTTGGCTTTCTGACTGTCGGAGGCTCTTAATACTGACGAGCATCAGAGGGTGGGAGGGCGAGGGAAGGAGACGCATCCAGATCTTCGTCAGCCTAAGTTGCCGAAGCGTCGGCTTCAGGAACCGCTTCCCTGACTGCAGCCCCCTTTGCTCCCTGCCCAACAGGGGCCTGGTTTTAATTTGGGTCCTAGTTGCGATTGGGCTAGACTAATCTGCAGTCTAATGCCGATTAATGCAGCGCAGTACTAATTTATTGGCTCTAAAAGCAGGAGACTATCTCGAGAGCAGGGGAAGGATGGTAGGTAACCCCTTACTCTAGTATACATTAAAGGAGCTAGTGTACATTAAAGCTCTGTTCCGTGCCTCCCTGCTTCTCCCTCTAGCTGCTTCTCACAACCCCTTTCATAAACTGCCCCTGTGGCTGTTTTCAGGTGATCGACGAAACCCTCGACGTGAAGGAGATGATCTTCAACGCGGAGCGCGTTGGCGGGCTGGTGGACGAGCCGGTACGTACGGGGGCCATCGGTGACTCCCTAAAAGTCACCCGGGGTATCCATGGCACCGTGTTTCTCTCTGAAGTCAACCCAAACGGTGACAGCACCAACACAATGACTCGACCTTAAAAGCGGCCGCCTCTTGGGTGCGCGTTCATCGACCCAGTTCGGTGTCGCTGACCGCCCTGCGCGTTTCCTCCCTCCAGGACACCGACAGCGCCCTCCGCGACGACTTCAGCTTCAGCAGCAGCGCCCTCATCGGGCTCCTGGTGATTGCCGTGGCCATAGCCACCGTCATCGTCATCAGCCTGGTGATGCTGCGCAAGCGGCAGTACGGCACCATCAGCCACGGCATCGTGGAGGTGAGAAACAGCTCGTGGTCTCAGTAGAAACAGGTCCCCTTCGCTCACGTCGGGTGTTTAGGGGGTGAAGATGGTGGTGTTGGCGACAGCAGCCAAGCCAGCGAGTGCTTTACCTCAAACGGGGTTTAAGACGGGGCTTAACTCAGTTGCCTAAGTTAACTTGGTTGCCTCGAACTCGATGTCAGCAGCGGCATCGCGCCCTTATCGGTGTGCGGGTATCGGGTGCCAGTGTGTCCTGCTGGGACCTGTCGCTTCCCAGCTCTACTCGTCACCAGCAATTCAGTTAAGCTTTCCAGTGTGGCTCGGGATAGGATTTAATGATAAATCCAGGCAGTATCTTTAGGAAGGGAGTCAGTAATTTGTTCTCCCGACCCACATAGTGACTATTAAGACACGGTGATCAACTGAGTATGGAGAAGCAAGTACCCCCTGCTTCCTTCCACTAGACCTTGAGCACTAGAAACTAGAGCAGGTTTCTAAAAGGAGCTCGATGCAGTCTGCAGAAAGCTGCCTTTCCCCTTTCCCGAGGGGTGAGTGGAATAAAACTGACCTGTTCTGTAAGAGAAAAGAGTCCAAGACCAGTGGGTAGCTGAGCAGAGATCTGGGGAGAGCATCCCCACAGAAGCCGGAAGAGACGGGAGGAATTAAGAGCCGAGCAGGGAATTCTGCTAAGGAAACTGGTTTTGGTGCTTTGCTTGTTTTTCCCTTGTCTTTCGCCTCCAGATCCATCTAGATCCTGCAAATCCCTCCCGGGACCAGTAATTCTGTGGCCTCTCCTTACAGGTCGACCCGATGCTCACCCCCGAAGAGCGGCATCTGAGCAAGATGCAAAACCACGGCTACGAGAACCCCACCTACAAATACCTGGAGCAGATGCAGATATAAAAGGGGGCGAGACGCAGCGGCCCTGGTGAGAACGCGAGCAGGGCAGGAGGGCCAAAGCGGTCCAGCGTTTTGGATCGACTACTGACCAACAGTTGCTTCGAGAGGACTTCATCTTACATTCAGAACTCCTGGATCATTAAGACTATAATTACTACTGTAGAGTTGCAATTTCCATTCTTTTAAATGGGTGAAGAAATGATAATATAACAGTATGATATATAAATCTCCTTTAAATGGGAAAAAAATGGATCTATTGCAGATATTTGACTGAGATGTAGGTTTTTCTTTTTTTTTTTGTTTTGTTTTTTTTTTTTATCTGAAGAATACCAGTTCCGTTGTACTGTTGTCTGATACAAGCTCTCTCTATATATAATGGGAAATGTTGATTTTTATTTCGGATAGACCACCCGTACATCGAGGGTCGTTTGTACCAGCCTGCCTTGTAAAAAGGAGGCAGTTGTGGCTCTTCTGGCTTTTATATATAAAGCAGTATTTTATTTTTTTTCCTTTTTTTCTTTAAGTGACTTTTGCTGGGAGTTGCAAAGAAATTAATTTAGGGCGAGGAACTCTGCGCAGCGTAAGCGAGGAAGCGATTTGGAATGATAACTAACACAAAATACATGGTTATAACAGAAATAAGTTGTTATAACACAAAAAAAAAGGAAAAAAAAAAAACCCCATCCTCATATGCCAGTGGTGTTTGCCCTGCTGCTTGGCAGCCCGGGCTCTTGGGCTCGCGACTGCCCGGAGGCACGGAGCGAAAAGGCTTCTAGCAGCTCTCTTTATAGCTATCCTAGTGGAACGGTAGGCCACGGTTAGGGCAGCCTCGGGGTCTGCCCGTTCCCCTCCCCGATCCAGCGCAGCTCGAGCGGTGGAAGTTCCTGGGCACGGATCGAAACCCTCCCAGCGGATCCGGTTTCCCTCGGGCCTCACCTGGCGTTAACAGCCCCCGCTCTTGCTACTGCTTCCTAATTTTCCCCGGCTCTCCTGCCTCACCGACGGGGTAAGTAGTTGGAGACGCGGTTTTCGGGACCCTCCGCGTCTCATCCGGGGTTTTTTTTGGCCCTGGACATGGGGGTTTTTTTGGGGTGTTTGCCCAGAAAGGACAAATGGTCGCAATAACGGGAACTGCGCGAGCTGATGAACGAACACGGAGGTCGCTTGATCCGGGGAGAGAGGAGAGGGCTCATTTGGGAAAGGGATGCTAGGAAATGGGATGCGTAGGCCCCGAGCAGAACAAATTGGGTATTATTCCGCTCACCATCATGTCTTTGTAATGCTTGTATAGTTGGTGTTAATGCTCACGGCTTTTTTAAATCTGGAGGTTCTGGTAACCTGTGGTGTATTTTTTTCTATTATTTTTTTTTCCCCTGTGACTTTACTTTTCTCCTTCCATGTCTCTTCCCACTATGCACAGATTTACCTGCAAACTCCTTCGTGTGGTCTGTGGGGAATGTACAAAGTTGAAACACATCAATAAACACTTTAACTTCCACAGCGTTTCCGCTCTTTATTCGCGCCCTCTTCTCCCACCGTGTTGCCAAACCTTGGGGGCACTTTTCCCCATCTTTTTGTCCACCTCTGCTGCGCTCAGCAGGAATTTAGGAGGAACTTCTCAATTTTGAAAAATCTGCTCGGACTCGGAGCTGCAAGCCTTAAACTAAGGTTGGTCGGACATAGGGAGGCTGCAGAAGATGATGCAGCTCCAAAGAGGAGCTGCAAATTGTTGTGGTTTATGATCCCTCTCGTGGGTGACCAGGTCTTGAAGCACCCTCAAGGTGCGAGGAGCCCTTGGCAGGACCTTGAGCGTTTAGGATATTGTTTTAGGAAGGGAAATAGCTTTGGTTTAACCTTCTCTTGCAGAACATCTAATGCCGTTTTCCCCCTAAACGCGGGCTCCGCTGGAGCCTCCCTGGTCTCCCTGCATAATTCCGGCTCTGCAGGGAAGAGCAGATGCTGTCCTAGAAACCGCCGGCTGTTGCCTTGTCACAACTACTCGGGAAAGAGGTTGGACTTGTAACTGTGAGTTTAGGCGATGCCGGAGCGGATCTCGGCTCCGAAGCTGTTTCTTGGATCGCAGCCTCGGTCGGGATAACCTGAAACGGGAAGAAATGGCTGTTTCTGAGGGGCTCTGTTGTTCCTCTTAGAGGCTCTGCACTGAATCCAGAATTGAATTTGGGCATCGGCTTTTTCCTTCAGTCAATTTTTAGTGCTCCAGCTTAAATCCATTAGGCCGAGGGCTCCACATCGGTTCTTGATGATGGGATTCGCCTACAGCTTCTGGAAAGGGGTGTCTGCAACTACCTGCTTGAAGATCAGGCCTGAAACGTGTCCCGCTGGAGAACAGGGATCACGGAGGCAAGAGGAGGACGACGCTTTCCTCAGAGGCATCTCTAAAGCCCAGCACGGTAAGAGGCTTAAAATCCACAGCAGAACAGTTAGGGGCTGAAAGAGCCTTGGGAAGGGGGCAGAGAGCTGGAAACAGGAAAGCCAGGTTTAAATGAACATGTTTAACTCAACAAGTAGAGCAAAGAGGAGCAATCCTGAAAATGTGCAGAAGGGATGTGGGTGTGAAGAGGAGTTTTCAGCCAGCCCTTTGCATTGCTGCTTGGTTTGGGAGGGTGATGTTGGGGCAAGGGTGGTTATTTTCCACACGCTTAAGTTGGTTTTTTCCCCCTTTTCCAGGTCATGAAGTGCAGGCTTCATTGAGAACAGAGCACAGCGAGTGCTCTGCAGCCCGGCCTAGCCCAAAGCAAGGTGAGGAATAACCTTTCTCCCCAGCACGGTGCTTTGGTAGGGAGTAATGCTGGAGCCTGGTGCATGTTGGAAGGGGCACCCATGGAAAGGACCTCTGGGTGACCTGCTCTTTGCAGAGCCCCTTGGATATAACAGAATAATCTGATTTACAGGCCCAGCGAGACAGTCCTGGCCCACGGGACATGGAGTTCTGCAGACACCGAGGTCTAAAGGAAGGCAACGTTCTTCACCCTGCACCTTTGGAGAACTCCTTGTGGGCTGGAAAAGAGGTGACCACCAAGAACATCCCAGGACTGTGGAGCCTTTGCTTTGCTACGCGCCGAGGTGGCCTCCCTTTCTCCAGATGACACCCTTGGGCCAGAGGTGAGGAAAGGAGGAAGGGGCAAGCCCAGTCTCTTGCTATAGCCCTGTTCCCTTAAGTCTAGAAAGGAGGAGCAGCTTCTGCCTTTGCAAGGGACTTATGTTAAGGGATGAGTATATTCATGTATTGTCTGTTTTTATAGATTGCTTGGGAAGAGATGGAGGACTGGACAGAGCCCACCCTGCTCCCTGCCTCTCCTGTGGGTGTGTTGGAAATGCTTCTACGAAGAAGTGAAGAATCTGAAGAACTGAAGCTTGAGAGCAGCCCTGCGTTCCTGAAGCGAGGATCTCCTTTTTCAAACGCACGACTTAGAAAACGGGCTTGTTTTTCTTGCGGCCTTATGCACTTGCTAAGTCGAGGAGGACAGGTCGGAGCTTGTCCAGCAAAGCTTTACCCTCCTCTGACTTAACTGTGGGAGCGTGGGTGTTTTGTACGGAGGTTCTCTCATATTATGCATCCTTCTATTGTAAATATATCTATCATCTATGGTGATGACTGCTGCAGCAGCATAGCTATAGCCCTCTGCTATTTATATCACGGCTGTACTGTGTAATACTTGTTGTTTTTCTTGTATTGCTGCATGGGCCCCCATGCAGCACTTTGTCATTTTTTCCCCCTTTTTCTCCCCCCCCCCCTTTTTCATTTTTTTAATAAAAAAGCTTGGAGGCAGGGCCCTTTTTGTTTTTTTTCGGGGTACTAGACGCTAGGGCGGAACCTATCTCGTGCGTTGGGCTTTTTGGGGGGCCGGGAGGGCGCGGGCAGCTCCGGGGGGAGCTGGCTTAGCTTGGTATAGTACCGAGGCTGCTCTAAGATTAGAGCTGACTCGGTACTATACAAATCTATATCTTTTTTATATTAGAGGCAGCTCTAACTAGAACTGACTCTAATATAAAAAATAGATAGTTTTTTTATATTAGAGACAGCTCTAACTAGAAGTGACTCATATTAAAAAATACATAAAGTCACTTCTAGTTAGAGCTGTCTCTAATATAAAATCTAATATAAAAATAGGACTTGGTTTGGAAAGGGGGAAGGTGAAGATGCGCGGAGTCCTGAAGATGCGCGGAGTCCTGAAGATGCGCGGAGTCCTGAAGATGCGCGGAGTCCTGAAGACTGAAGACGCCTCGTTGGGGTGCTAAGAGCCCAGGGTGTGGGACTTAAACAGTTGGGGTAGCTGCTTCCTTCCACGGTCAGGAGCTTCTGGACTTGCCCTGGACAGGGGAGAGACTGAAGCCACCCCAGGTCAAAGTCACCTTTTAGTGGGGAGTCGTGGAGGGTGCAGCAGCTGCCTGGGAGCTGACAGGTGGAAGCGATGCAGCACATAGAATAAAATGCAGCACTTAATAAAACACTTAAAGCATCAAAGCACTTAACCAAACCAAGGAGTATGGTTTTCTCCCGAGGGAGCCAATAAACAACTTCCAAATCATATTTATAATGGCTTGGACTGGTGCAGGCTCCAGTGCTCCACTTAACCCTGGCCCAAAAAGTTTAGTCCACAATACAACATACGTCCTAGAGCAGATGAAGCCCCTACTTCACAGGACCACTTCATTACACCATCATCTCCAGGGCTGAGGCTGTTCAAATAACTCTATAGCTTAATTAGCAACACTTAAGTCTTCCTGATGCTTTTAAATAGTGCTGATTGTACCTGAAAATTGCCCGCAGCTGTTGCCAATCTAGCATTAACGAGCAGACCTTAATCCATAACTTATATACAGGTCATGGGTCCAGCACCATCTTCCTCAAGGCAACAGGAACTTAGCAACAAACTGTAGATATATATATATATATATATAAATAAAAATACCCACTTTAATGATAATATTCTTCCAGTCATTACCTAAAAAAGGCAAGAGCTGGAATGCGTCTCTTCTTCATCCTCGGATCCTCGTGGAGAGACAAAGCAGATGCAGCTCTTTAGGCCCATGTCTTTGCAGCAGCGTCTGTAATGAAGGAGAGAGCTAGGACTTGAATTAAAAGCAGAATTGGTGCTAAAGTGCAAAACTACTTGCTTTGAGAGCATAGCTGGTGTGCCAATCAACTTATTATTTTGAATATAGGCTAACGCAGCGTCATTGTTATTCATTACTCTATCTGTTTGTAATTTATAATATATTATACTTACTAACATACAGATTTTAAGAGCAAAACTATTCTGGTGACACTGACAGCTGAAAACCCAACCAGCTGCTGGAGACCACTTCAGCTTTGGCACAGCTCGTTCCGGGAGCCTTCCTGGTGCTCTGCAAATGGCTTTATTGTGACCGCCGGGTTGCAAACACAGTCACGGTGACAAGGACCACGCAGTGTCCGCTATGTGGGACTCACCCAGGCAAAAATATTCCTCCCGTCTCCGTTGCGATATTCCCTGGATGCTGGAGGAGAGTGGCTGGACTGTGTCGTCCCCGAGCTTGGTGGCCTGTGTGCCAAATAAAAACTATATATTATTTACTAGCATCACAAACAGAGCCATACTACCACCTTCTCACTTCGTCACTGCATTGGGATTTTATCTATTTATTGACTTTTAAAGAACATATCGTACGAGTCTAGAGAAATAAGGGGAAATTCAAGTCGCCAGCTAATGAAGGCTGGGAGAGGAATAAGTTATTTCTACCTCTTCCTCCTTCAGAACTGCACCAGTTACGGTTCAGAGGGGAAGAGGTGATTAAAACTATTGCAGTGACCCAGATCTTATCCGGATAGGAATTTCTCCAGCTCCGTTTCCAGCGTGGGCCGGTAGCTGCCCATTCAATCTAGGTATCTCAGGCCCCTGTTCCCAGCAAAATCTCATCGCCCGTGGCTGCCTCTATTGGGTAAATACAAATACAAAAACATCCCGGGACAAGGAAACGCTCAGGAGGAGCAGCAAGCACTGAGAAAATAAAATCCTTTCTTTACTAAGTGTTCCTGTCCACTTAAAACATGCAATTAGGTGGGAGTACCTGGGCCAAGACGACAAGATGCCGTGGATGGTGGCAGCAGGAGGCTGAGGTTGGCCGGGTGCAGACAGCAGGAACCAAGAGGCGCTTTGTCCTGGTGCTGGATGCTGAAGGAGGCCCTGGAATTCAACAATTTTTCCTCTTGAAACACATTGGCATTTCCATTTATACTGTTTTTCCCCCCTCCCCATCATGCAGGGGCCGTACCTATCTTCCAAGCAGTGCCAGAAACGCCACCTGCCACCTGCCCACGCGTCAGGCGAGACAGCTTGGACTCCACAAGCGAAAAACCAGGGTGAAAAATCAAACATTACTGCCATCAACACCGCTCTCTACAGGACCCGAGTTACAGGCATCACGCTAAACCCTTGCACTCAGCAGCACCTTCCTTCCAAACGCCTCACGTGCCTCTGGGCACCTTAATAAATCCCCCAGCGCGGCAGATAATATCTGCCATTAAAAATACCCGCCTCGGCCCTTGTGCGTGCCAATAGAGAGGAAACAGCCGTAAAACGCAGGCGAGCGTTACCTGAGTCCCTGGATCACGGGCGACCTTGTGGTTAAACGTTAACAGGTTGCGGATGGACAGCGAGCAACAACGGCTCTTGCCGGCCAAGGTACTTCCAGGTGTAGACCGTGGTCCACCCCAGGGCGCAGACCACGAGGACTCACCTGGGAATGGCTTGACCTTGGCAAGGGACAAACGTCTTGAAATGCTTCTGTTTGCCCACGGACTCGCTGTCCTTCTGCTGGTCCAGCCTAAAGGCGTCTCGAGACATCACGCTTGACACCAACCAGGATGGTTCATTAAGGCACTTTATTGGTGGCCACATTTGCTCTGTACACATCAAGCCTTGTGCAAAAAGGACCCCCAAAACGCTCTACTTGAACCAGCGTGAGAGCTACCGGTGGGGCCGTTCACAGCCCGAGCTTTGCAGCCCAGAAAACTAAAAACTCTCCCTCCAAGGAGCCTCCTTGGCACGTGCTACCGTTAGATGAAGGCAAGGGAGTTGGGTGGGAAGGGGACAAGTCCTTACACTGCAGCGCTGGGCCGTCCACCTCATGCTTTCCCCTTCCCATGCTCCGTTACCAAGCGTCGGCTTCATTTGACGAGACAAATCCCAAACCCGATCCGTAGAGCTTGAAAACGCCGGGAAGAAGTTTCGGACGGAGCGGGGACTCACTTGTCGTCCGGGCCGCTCTCCGGCAGCAGGGCGCCGCGGGCGCTCTTGCCCTTGCGGATGCACATGCCGCAGTCCAGCTCCACGTCGATGTCCCCAAACTTCAGCTGGCAGGACTCGTTGCAGCTGCGGGAGACATGGGAATGTCATTGGGGTTCCGGGCTCATCCTGAGGCCACCCAGGAGCCCTACTGAGGTCCGTTCTGGTCCCAACCCGGCCCACACTCTCCATAGACACAGAGTTGGTTGCGTTGACCCACCACAAGCTGGACACCCGATTTCCCACAGTAGCGTTGAGTTCAGCTACTGCTCTTGCCCATCACGCGCTACTGGGAACGGTTGGGGACCTTCTCCCACCACGTACCAGCGAGAGGCGACGGCGTTGGCTGCCATGACGGCGAGGGCGCCGGCGTAGTGCCAGCAGAAGCACATGGTGAGGAACACGAAATTGCCGCGGTCGGCGGGATCCCAGCCCGGGCCTCCCCACGGAGGGGACAGCACAAACCCCATCTGGGCACAGGAGGGAAAGAGAGATTAGGCACAAGTGCTCGTGTGGCCTTAGTGCAGCCACCCTTGCTTTCCCCCACCCGTTTCCACCAACAATTTGGCCATTTTCAAGGCAAAATAACCTCCGGTGACATCCAGACCGCTCCATTGGACAACGCCACCAGAACATCCCTCTCCCTGTGCCCCCATCCCACGCCCTCACGCACCCACCTGCCAGAACCAGGAGCCCTGCAGGAGGAAGGAGCTGGTCCGGAAGAGCTCCAGGACCAAGTGGTCTCGGATGAACACTTCCAGGAGCGCACAGAGCGCTCCGGCGAAGATGCCCGTGGCCAGCAGGCAGCGGAGGTGACCACCCAGCGCAGCCTCGCTGTAGTCGCGGGAACAGAAGAGCAAGCCTGCCAAGATCCACGTTGCGTTAGGAAAAGGATGCTCGGGGATTTTCCTTTTTTTTTTTTTTTCTGTATTTTAAATCCGAGTGTTGAGATTTTTGCCTCCACTAAAACTGGAGCTGTTGTCCCAAACGCCACCATAGCGGGTCCTTCAAAAGAAGGGTCTGAACCGCACGTTACCAAGTCCCTAAAGACTCCCAAAGACCCCTACGTTTCCTATACATTTCCCACCTTCCATGAGCAGAGCTATGGCCAGCGCGAGATGATCCAAGCCGAGGGGCAGCTTGAGGGGGGAATGCGAGACGACCTCCACGACGCCGGAGAGGAGGAAGAAGAGGTACATGGTGGTGTAGTGCCAGGGGGTCAGGTCCGTCCAGCTGTGCGTCTCGGCACTGTAGAGCAGCAGGTGGGGACCGGCAGGAGCAAATTGCTCGGCCAGGATGCCTGGGCGAGAGGAGCAGAGAGGTCACACGTTTCCTAAGGCTCGTGGGCAAAGGTCCTTCGAGAAGGTGATGCTGGAGACGTGGGTCCAGCATCATACGGAGGAAATGTAGCCAGTTTGCCCAAAACTGAGCACACATCTGGGCTGCCCCACACCTGAAACAGCCCCTTCCCACCACGAGCAGTCCCTGGGGTGACAGAGGCTGCAGAATTGCTGGTAGAGGTTGGGCCAGATGCTCAACAGCCCTTACCTGCGAGGGCGAAGAAGGCTTTGACCGTCCCTTCGAGGACTTCCAGGCGCTGGGCGCCATAGCTTGGCTGATCCTCGGCGTTCGCCTTCCGCCTGAGGTACTTGAGCGGGTACTTCACGGACCACCAGAGACCAAAAATGAGGAAGAAGGTGCCCCGGAGGGCATTGCCGATGAAGCTCGACGGCATCGGGCTCGCTTGCTGCTCGCTACGCCTGGAAGGACAAACAGAGCCTGGAGATTGTCCCCATAGGAGAGACTTCTGTCCCTCGACTGAGAGGACTCCCCAGGGAGCAACATCCTGACAGGTCCCAGCAAGCACCAGCTCTGTCATCTGCTGCAACTGGATGATGCCAGAGATGTGAGGCCTCCAAGAAGCTCGGCCACACATACTCAGTATATTGAAATAAAAACAATCGAGAGCAGCAAGGACAACAATGGACAACTCGAGCAGCGTAGTGGGCTTTGGATGTCACCTTGCGTTGGCCTTCCCTTGGGCAAGACCTTTCTCCTTGCCCTTTGCATCCCTCCGCCTCTAAAGGAGAGCTCGCGCTCTCCCTGCAGCCCTTCTCCTTTTCCACGACTGCGATTTACGCAGAAGAAAGCATTAGTCACCGCCGGAAAAGCTACCACCCCAAGCCCAGCCTCCACCGGGAGGCCCTCGCCTGGCAAATCACATCCTCACCGTGTTTATAAATACCGAAGGAAATTGCCAAGCCCGGACTAACAACTCCAGCACGTTCTCCAAGTCCTCCCACACGAGAAAGTAATTAGACGGTGCAAAATTAAGGGAGGATGTGGCGTGGCAGGCGCCCCAGGCAAGAGGGAGCTTTGCAAGACAGCCCCGGTCGGGGATGGACACGGCTGGAATGGGATCACTGGGCTCGGGCATTCCCGGCTTGTCCTGCTGGGACAAGAAGTGCGGCGTCTGGATTTGGAGTCCGGCCTCATCCTCTGCCTCCTTTGCGGATAACCTGGGCTAGACCCAAGGCTGTTCACAGCGTTTTAAAGATTCTTCTTGGGAGGGAAGGCTGGTCAACAGCCTCCCAAGGGGACAAGAAATGTCCCGTCCTGGGATTTTGCTTGGGAATCAGTTATGGCCATTTTGGATGTTCACTTAGATGGTTCATTCCCCAAAAGCGCCTTTGCCAATTGCAACCTGGACACTTCATCCAGGACGAACATCTCCATCCCTCGGGTGGCCACATGCTAAAGCGACCCAAAATAAGCATTGCATCGAGTGAAGCAACGCTCAACACGGCACGGTTGTGCGATACGCAGCCGGATTTGACCCCTGTCCTCCAGGGACCTAACCGCAAGGACAACAGCCCCAAGCTGCAGTCAGGAGTTGAACCTGATCAAGATACGTAACTGGGATGTTTGTGGTGCATGCCTCTCGGGAGAGGAGGAGCAGGAAGCAGCCTCCCAGGCCGGGACATTGGGAATGAGAACCGGCACGTTGCACCCGCCGCGCGAGACGCTCTCCAAGCACCACCTCCAAGCTAAGCAGCCCTCATCCCGATGCTCATTGTTACCAAGCACCCCAAAACCACCAGCTCCCTTTCAGGCTGTCCCTAGTGTCTCTTATCCCATGCTCTCCATGCTCCCAGCTCCATCCTTCTGGGAAGGGAGATGTTTCTGTTCCAGTTCCAGCATCTCCTCAAGCCATCACGGCTCTGTCACCCATCCAGCAAAATAGCAAGGTTCAAGCTGAATGTCCCTTGTTCAAGGCAAGGGGAAGGGGATAGATTTCCCCTCTGGAAGGGTTTGCTCACTGTGACACAGGGTGGAATGGAGCTCGTGGACACACAGATCTATCCTACAAACATCCACGGATGCTTCAACTCATCCTAACCAGGCAAACCTCCCTTGCACACGCGATCCTCACCCAATGGCGGGGAACCAAGCCCACCGGGAACCCCTTGGGCATCACAAAGCTCCAAAACTCGTCTTCAGCAGGGCCATTTCAACCCATTTTCCCCCAAATCATCCTTAAAGAAGACCTCAGTTTCTCGGAGGTCGCTCCTCCCCAGAAGCTTTGCTCAAGAAGCCCCATCTGGTCCAATGTATTTCTCCGTATGGGGAAGGAAAAGCAGAATAGGGATTTACCTGCGGCCTCTCCCGCTCCCGACGCGAGCAGCAAGGAGCAGTGAGGACTCGGAGGTGGCAGATAAAGGGCGAAGCGGCGCGGGGAGGTGTCTCGCGGACAGGATGTTTAGAGCCGAGCAAACTCAAAGCCCTCTGAGTCAACGGCCTTTCACAACCTCATGCCTGCTATTAAAAAAAGAGGCTCCCAGGGTTTGCCACAAAAAAAAATAATCGGGAAAAGCCACCGATCCGGTTCCCTTGGCAACTATAGCTCTGCGGTTATTAGGTTGTTTGGGGATGGCGGGGAGAAGAGCCAAGGAAACGCAAGGCGAAGGCATTGCCTGGCCTGGTTGGGATCTGCTGGAGGGTTTGAAGCCTTGGAGCCCCATTGCTCATTCCTCAGCCACGCTTTTTGGGTGGCCTGGCCTTGGAAAAGGGGCTTGCGGGTAGGACCTCCAGGGTTAGGGGCTCCCAAAGCAGAATCCTTGTGAGGGCAGAGGGACTTCTAGTGTCACCCAAACCAAAGCTTGAGGATTCACATGGTGCCCTCCTCACCCAGCAATGCAAGAACCTCGCAGATAGCCCCCCAAAGCAGCACAGCAAGCAACACATTACCTGAAAAGGGCAGCACCAGCCCACGTTGCCTCCAGGAACGGAGCCCCAACAACCTCCTTGCGACTTGCTCTTCTGCAAGCACCGTCCGAGCGCGCGGTCCTGGCAAATGCCCCGTGCTACAATCCACCGTCCCCAAAGGAGCTCTGCTCAAGCCAAGAGAGTGTAGACTTTCGGGAAGCAGTATGAGGCCGAGGTGGGGAAGAGGGGAGGCAACGGAGACCAGCTGGGAAGGACCCGCTCCCAGCTGCAGGTGCTTCTTTCTGATGAGTTAAAGGGCCGGCCATGACTAAAGCAAGCAGAAAGGGGGTTTTTTTTTTTTGTTAAAGCAGTGCCCTTGCTGGTGCTAGAAAGTGAACAAAGCTGTAGATGTAAGAAATGGTGACACAAAAAAGTGCATTGACTCTTTTAAATAAAAGAAACACTATAAAATAATGGAGGGAAATTGTGACCAGGGCTTGGGAACAGTAGCCTAAAGGTCTCATAACCTGGAAGGCAGGTGGCGAATCCCACCATTGGCACACGGGGAGGCTACAGACATCCCTAGGGATGCTCCTTAGCTACAAACAGCCCTTGTGCGGGATGTGATCATGGGAGAGCATCCGTACCCTCCTTTGGGACCCCCGGGAAGCTTCCCCTCCCTGAAGCTTCATCATTACTCTTAATGCTAATTAAAAAATGCGATGATGCTCGGCTCCTTGCTGAGGGCGGTGGGAGGCCCCGGCTAATTACACCCTGGCCAGCGGCTCGGGCCCCGGGGCTGGACGGCTGCTGGTGCAGAGCATCATTCCCCTCATTGCTAACACGGGTGTTGGTCAACAGAGGAGGGGAAGCGGGTGGCACCAGCGGGGGCCGGCCGTGTCCGGCCTCCGACACTATTATTCCAGCCTCACATGAATGTGCCAACGGACGAGGCCGGAGGCAGATGCTATGGGCAGGCACGAGCACGGAATGAGCGGTGCCAGAGCCTCAGGCGAAGGGCTTGGCTTTGGAGCGGGAGGAAGAGGAGGGTGCCAGGGCGTTTAGGACTTTTGGGGCTCTCGATGGGGTTCTTCTGCACGGAGAGGTGAGTCAGCCTCCCCGGGGGCTGTTATCACCTTCAGGACAAACCCTGTCTCCTTCCTGCCTTGGATTTCTTGTTCCAGGAGCGTCAACAACATGGGGCTGGTGTTGCACGAGGCAAAACCCCGCCGGCTCATTGGCCGCATGAGCCAACGCAACAAGGTCCTTCCAAGCTGGCTCATCTCCACGGGCACCTACAATAGTACAGTGCTTGAAACCCAAGCACCCAACCCAAGTTCTTGCTTTTCCAACACCGCATGATACCTGTGTCACACATATAGGCTTGTGCCAGCTCTGCCTCGGTGGGTCTATAGCACAGGAGATAAATATGAGGACGTCCTGTGGCTTCACCTGGTGGTTTTAATTCACTTTCTAAGCAACTTGCAACCATCTCCTCCTTGCTTTATGCTTGAGCTGTTTTGCCTACATCTTTTAGGTTAAAAATCCTGAATTTTCCTCTCAAACACACTTCCTCTAAAGCAGACCATCACCAGCTGCAGCTCAGCTTTGGTGACCTTCTGGGGACAGAAACACACTCCAAAGGAGGAGAAAAAATTAGCGAGCACCACAGATAAGATATTTGTGGAACAAGGGATGGAACGAGGCACTTGAGAAGCTACTCAGAGCTGTAGGTGCTGCTAGCAACCTCTGATGGAAACAGCTTTCCCACCGGCTGCTGCCCTCGTGCGGCTGTTCCATGGGAATGATGATGTTCCACATATAGACTCCTAGGCTCTCCGGCTTTGCGCTTAAATTTAAGGATATCGGCTCAACAGGGATTTTTATTTCACATTTCTCGTCTCTTTTAGCTTTTAAGTGAACATAAATTAAATTTAAAAAAAAAAAAAAGAAGCCCTTTAGCTCCAAGCTTTGGTATCAAATATATGTTGCACGCGATCAGACTTGGACGCTGCAAATTTGATGCAATCGAGTACTGGGTGCTCTTCTGCTCCTCATCCTTGGGAGACTCCCTGGTGCAATGCCAAGGTGCCGGAATACCGACCTCAGCCTGGAGGCCGCTCCCCTTCTCTCCTGGTCAATCAAACCGGGAGCATTTGGAAAATCCAGCTGGCCAAAGGGTGCCATCCATCACTGCAGGAACCCGCAAAGTCCTCTTGGATTTCAGCACTGAATTTTGTCACTAAAAATCACTGCAAACGGGGCTCGTTCCGGGCACGTGCCGACACTGGAGCCTGGCAGCTACCCTGCGCGTGGTGGCACCTTTCCTGGTTGTTCTGAGATATCAGTGTTTACTTTGATTGCTTCTTCTTGGAGCAAGCTGATTCTTTAGCTACTTGGGCCAGGAGCCTTCACTCTTCATCGGACGCGTTCAAGAAGGCCGCGCGGGAGCCCGCGTCCCGCTTGGGCTGCCGCACTCCCAGCCCGATGTACAGATCTCCACCGATCCTGCTGCACCTCTGGACGCAGCTGCAACACAGCAGGAACACATCAGAGCTAAGCAAGCCCCAAAGCCACCAGGAGCTTGGTCAGGGAGGCAAAACGCGCTGGGTTTGGGACAGCAGGAGGGCACAGAGGGAGAGGGCCTAGTCCAAGGGCTCTAAAACGCTTGTTTTCCCCCTTTTCTTTGCCAGCATATCCTGTCCCAGTGCCTCAGAAGGGACCCTTGGAGGCTTTTAGGCTGTCAGAGCAGCACTGAGATGGGGTGACACCTCCACCCTCTTCCCAACCCCTTGGAAAAGCCATTCTGGGGGTTGGCCCTGCTTCATAAATCAACGTTGCACCTCCAGTGTGTTCAGGACTTGCGAATCCTTGGAAGAGAGGGCAGAAAGCATCATGCGTTCCCGGCAGCGCACGCCCCAGCCATACCAGCACACGAGCGCGTAGTTGATGGTGAGGAGGAGCACCGCGCCTGCCCAGTGCCAGAAGAAGCACATGGTGAGGAACATGACGTTGTCGTGGTCTTTCTCGTCCCACATTGGGCCTCCCCAGGGCTGGAACAGCACCACCCCGATCTGTGTGGACAAAGTCATTTGCCTTTTGAGAAGGAACTTCTCTGCCTACAGTTTGGGGTCGGTTATCTCTAAATAATTTCACTGCTTCTCCAGTTATCGCCAAGCACTCAGATGGCCAAATATTTACTCAGCCATCTCATGGCGTGGTGTAGGTTACGTCTTCCCACTAAGCCAGAAGTGTGCACTAGCCATATTAAGCAATTAATCCATGGTTGTTAAGTACTCTAAGATGTTGCTTGCTCACGGAGAGTGCTCTTCTGCCCTCCTCTCTTCCCCCAAGAAACAACAAGCCAAGACAAACAGCTACTTCATCAGCAGCAGTCATCAGAGATGACCTGTGTTGAGTAAATTCTCACGCTGGGTTATGATCTATTTATGAAGTGAGCCTTGGCAGGGCTATTTTTCAGAGAAAACAGATAGGCACGTGATGCACATCTTTACCATTTGGCCCCTGCCCTGGTTCTCTGCCCCGCAGGAGAAAGAAGGTTTCGCTGACCTGCCAAAACCACGTTCCCTGGATGATGGTGATGCCAGCTCTGAAGAGCTCCAGGACGATGTTATCGCGGAGGAAGACCTCCAGCAAGGTGCTGAAGGCTCCTGAAAATATGGCGATGAGCAGCAGGGAGTGGATATGCTGATCCAGCATGGGCCGGTGAAGGACGTGGTAGTAGAAGAGAAATCCTGCCCAAATGCATAGCACATTTAGGAGACACAAGCCAGAGGGAACATTTCAGGTGGACCCCACACCCTGGGTAGTTTCCTGCTCAGCACTAGTTGAGCAGATGAGTACAGATCCAAAGCCAAAAGCAGGATGCCTATCAGGCCCTAGAGAAAGGATCTACCACGTAGAAGAGCCTGTCGATGCCTGAGCTTCCCACCTTGCTAGACATACTCCTCAAAAATGTCTCGGACCCAAACTCAGACAAAAACGTGCCTTAACTTCAGGGACATTCAGAGCGATAGCTCAACCTGGCGAATTTTGGCCCTTCTCTGCCTCCCCATACCACATACCCTGACGAATGAATGCGTTGACTTCTACAGACCTTCAACAAACACAGCCAAGGAGAGCATGAGGCGATCCAGGCCCAGCGGCACCGCCTGGAAGACGTATGTGAGGACGTCCACCATCCCCGAGAGGCCATAGAAGAGGTACATGGTGGTGTGCTGCCAGTTCATCAGCTTCACCCAGTCGCGCTTCTCCCCGCTGTAGAGATAGAGGTGCGGGCCGTCGGGGACGAACTGCTCCGCCAGCATCCCTGCATGGACACACGCGATGGACTGGGTCACACACAAGGATGGGGGCTGCTGCTTGATGCTGCTGAGGGGTTCTGAAGCTGAGAGCTGGAGTTTTGAGGTTACCAAGAAAGAACCACCTACATTAATGGTAGCTCAGCTTAGAGGTACTGAGATTTGGGTCTTCTCACATCAAGCTCTACTAGGGTCTACTCTATAAGGTCATGAGACTTGGTCTTCTCGCATTAAACTCTACTAGGGATCACACAAAAGGATCATCAGGGACACCTTCCTACAGGCCTGGATCGTTCTCTCCGGAGTAGGGACATAGACTATATGTGGTTGGGATGGGAGCACATCAGCGATAAGCTGTGATAAACTGGTATAATCCTTACCTATTAAAGCAAAGGCGATTTTGACACCGCCTTCGATGGCATCCGCACGCTGGAAACAGTGATTTCCTTGGGCCTTCTTACTTGCTCTCTGGCTGAGATGCCTCAGCGGGTATTTCACGGACCACCAGAGCCCAAAGAGCAGGAAGAAACTGCCTGGAAGCGCGTGGCCCTTGAAGTTTGCCATCCCTGATAACCTCTTGGATCTAAAAGGCAAGGAAAAAAACGTGCTATTAAGTAGCCTATACTTGATATATGACCAGGGAGAAGGTTGATCCCTCCGAGGAATGGGATCCTGCTGCTTTCCCTTCTCTTCAGCAAGTACGAGCAGCACCAGAGTGGAGGAAGGTGGCCTGTAGGAGCAGTGGAGGGAAGATAACGTACCAGAGAAGCAAGGTTTAAGGGTTAGGAAAAAAAATTTGCTCAGCTCCTGCAGAAGGACCCGAGCGGATTGCTGTGTCCGGAGAATTTCCAAATTCCTGGAATGGTTTCAACTCCCCGGGGGGTAGAGCTGATGCATTTCATTTAAAGCCAACCTACACCTCGCTTGGGAAAAAAACAGCCTGGGGCCAAAGGTTTTGCAAAAAACCAACTTGCTCCCCAGGTCACCTCTTCCTCCCAGCCCTTCCGTCCTCTTCGTGGCCCAGCGCAGGGTCTGAGCACATGCCCAGCAGCTCCAGGCTACCAAGAGCTCTCCTCGTTGTGCCCCACACATGCAGAGCGGGGCGGCCGTGCCAGGGCGCCCGCTCCCGAGGAGAATTAGCGCCATTCAAGTCCAGCCAGCTCCTGTTTGCAGTTTGCCAGTGCTGTTTAATTAGGTGGAGAAACGATTAGCGCTTTGATGTGGTCCCGAGCAGTACGTTCCGGGGCCTCCTTGGTGTGGACACGGTTCCTTTGGATCGGGCAATTAGGTGCTTTTAATTGCTAGCAGGGGCCGTGCTGCAGGTCCCCCCGGCCATCCGGGGTGCAAATGATGCTCTTTCCTCCAGCGTTTCCTGCCTCTTTTGTAGAGGACAGTCAGGGATGGAGGCCAAAAACCACGGGTCACCTCGCCCTGGAGACATCTTTCTTTGCTCACGCTTGGACCCCGTGTCTGCGTCGTCTGCTGCAGGCTGCTGTGCCCCGTGTCTCGGCAATAGGCCCATTAAACACCAAACCAAACAAGGGTGCTCTTGGAGACACCAGGTCTACCTTGCACGGGCCAATGGAGATGGCTGAAAATCAGGTTTTTGGGTAAACAGCGAACCGCCTCTCCTATATACGTATCTATAATAGCCTAATATTGGGATAACTAAACAGAAAGCAGGACACCGGGGCAAGACAGCAACGCGCCAACCTCATCCCACGTTAATGTCATAACACACCTGAGCCTCGACTCTGTTTTAATTAATGCCCTTTGCCCTACGCTGTGGGGTTTATTACGATGCCATGGGCTATGCTGGCTTAATGATTGACTGCTTCATTTGCTCTTATCGCCTCTGGAAGAGCCTCTTCCTCCTCGGTCAAGGAGAAAGCTCGGCACGGGGGCTGGAGCCAAAGGGAGGGATTGGGAAGAACCAGGGGGGCTGGGAAAAAATGGGTGTTTTTAACCAGAAAATGAGCAGCCCAAGAATGGATGCGTCACCAGGCTCAAGGCTGAAGATCCGCTCTCCGTCTACACCAGGTTTGGGTTCCCTCACGCTCTTCTCTTCCTGTTGCTTTGTTGTGGTGGCCCCAGATGTCTTCTCGGTGGCCCAGTCCTGGCCTCAGCATTTTCCTTCACGTCACTTCCTTGAAGGTTTTATCAGACCTTTGATAACGGCCCCGACAGACGATAGTCCCGTTGGAAACTCCTGTCTAAAGTCCCTATGGGCAAGAGCTCCCAGCCCTCACCCGTGCCCTTCAACCTGCAAGCTTGGACGGGTCCATGCACAATTTCCATTGGGAATGGGCATATCCAGGCCCCTTTTCCTACCCGCATATTCTCCGGAAAGCGGCCGGCATCCTATTTACTTCCAAGGGTTCCCGGGTGCTTTAATGCCAGCCTAATGCCCCAGAGTCTCATCCCGTTATACCTCTGCCTTCATCGGCATCCTCAGGTTGCTACCCCCAGCTCCCTCTGGGAAGCCAGGAAAGCGGCTTCCCAAAGCGAATTTGGGCGTTTTAGCCCCCAAAACACCGTCAGGATTGGCACCGGGCAGGCTCGGCAGCTCGGCTGCACATGAGCCTTTCCTGGGCAATTCTGCGGGAAGGGAAGAGTCTCCAACCAGGATCTCGATCTAGCTGATGCAGCTGGAAAAGCCACAGGCTGCAGGAAGGGCTTCGGGACCCCGCTCTGCCCTCGGCCACTCCGCTCCCCGCCTCCACTTGGGCCTGGATAATCCGACTTATTTCCCACTTCCTCCTTGGGCAGCGCGTCCCAGCCCACCGCCAGGCTCCCTGCCACGTCCCCTCCATATCCCCGCACCACCAATCCATCCATGCGGAGCCGGGCGATCCCAGGAAACCCCAGGGAAGGGTTAGGAAGGAGCCCTCCACCCCAGGAGACCCTTCACGCTGGGCGGGATTGGGATGCACGGGGAGGAGGCAACCGGACTCCCTTCCCCTCCCCGCTTGCCCTGGTGGCTCCAGGCGCAATTCCCAGCCCTTTCCCGGCCCTTTCCCGGCGCGGAGCCCCCGGGCGCTGTTACCTGCCGGGCGCTGGACGGCGGCACCGCACCTGCGCCCAGGTGTGCCGGGCTCCTCCCCTGCCTCCTCCCCGCGGGCACCCGGCCTCCCTCTGCCCCCCCGGGGGAAAAACAAGGGAAAAAAGCTGCTGGAATTCCCTGTTTTTTCCCCGGATGTGGATAACAATGGAATCCTGTTTGTCCCTGGGAGTGGGGGACAAATCAATGCTGCTCAATCCATGGGACATTCCCAGGACGGAAAGCTGGGGATCACGGAAGGAGGTGAGGGACGCGTGGCCCAGGCCACGTCCCACGACGCGATGATAGAGGGAAAATAAAGGAGCAGGATCAAAGATTTCCGGGAGCAGCCTCCCCACGAGCTGATCCGAGGCCCTGGCAAGGGCAAAGGTAGGAAAAGGAAACCACGGTTAAATAAAAGTGCTCGGAGAGGATGTGATTCGAAGCGTGTCGGGCTCAAAAATGCCGGCACGGAGCATCCTTGGGGAACAGGGCGCAGCTGGGAGCGGGCGCGCAGGTGCCCCCGGTCTCCACATTAGTGGAGCGGAGAACCGTGACATCCCATAATAGTGCAGGACCCCACGTCAGTTCATTCCATTTTGCCAATTACTGGGAAAATTGCTGCACTTTTCAGCTAAACTGCATTTTTTTCCCCCAAATTGTGGCTTTTCTCCAAATTGCACCTTTTTCCCAAATTGCACCTTTTTCCCAAAGTCCCCCTTTTCTGGGCGTGCAGGAGCAGGTGCAAAGAGAGGCAAGACATGGAATAAAGATTTTTCCCGATTTTTCTCCCCCTTTCCTTCAAGCTGTGGCTGTGCAGCGGGTGGAACAAGGGGACATCTCCGTGGTGGAGCGGGGAACCTCAGGCCCCCGAGCCCAGCGATGCTGTTGCCTCTTGTCCGGAGGCTGCATGGGAAAGCAATGGTGTCAGCAGCTGCAAAGGAAAAACAGAGAAAAACAGAGGAAAATAAGGAAGAATGCGGCTATATTTCACTAGAAAGCAGCAGCAGAGAAGACAACATAAAAAACTGGGCATTTAGCAACTAAACACAAGGAGTAATTGCAGCAAAACTGCACGGGCGGGCTGAGGATGGAGAGACCCCACGCAACTCATCACACATGTGCCTCCAAGCAAGGCTCTCGGTGCACGCTCCAGCCCGGGCACTTTTAAGGCCACGCAGGACGGTGGCGTGTGACACTAGGTGGTGCTGAGGGCTCGTGGAAACGGAGCTGCGGCCGGGGCGCGTATGGGCACAGACAGCCCGTAGCGTTCAATAGGGATGCTCGTTATTAATCCATCTCTTAATTGGTTTATTAACGCTCTCTATTAAACCTCTTATTCAAGAGTTTATTCAAGAGTTTATTCAAGAGTTTGTTCAAGAGTTTGTTCAAGAGTTTGTTCAAGAGTTTATTAGATAATTTATTAAAGGATTTGGCGCAAGCACAGCAGCTGTATCAGGATGCTCCCGCGCGCATCCCACCCCGGCACCTGCTTCCAAAGCGGCTTTGGGAACCGGTCTCCAAACCACGAGGGCCGTCGGGTGCTGCTAATGAGGCTGCAAAATTACCCCCCTTCCCGCTCCATTGGCCTCTTCCCTCCGCGCCGCCGGGGCTCCGGTTACGGTGCGAGCGGCAGCTCCGATAATTGCGCAGTTGTCGCCGGCGCGCAGCCTCGGGGGGGCTATTTTAAAACGCCGGCTTAGCCCCCAGGGCCGGCGGGGGGGCCCAGCTGTCCCCGGCGAGGGCGAGCGGCTGCTTCAAAGGATGCCGAGGGCTCCTCTGCAGAGCCGGGCTCGGCGCGACGGCGGAAGCAGCTGCCGGCGAGCTGGATGCGGGGAAGGATGCACCCATGGATGCGTGCGTGGGCGCATGGAGGTTTGATGGCCTGCGTGTGCTCCGCTCCCTGTCCGGGGATGCACAAGGGCCCACGAGGAGGCCAAGCAGCTCCAAACGGGCCATTGAAGTCGGCATCCTTTGAGAGAGGCCAGCGCGGGCAAGAATAAGTGAGCAAATATCCGACGGGGCTCCCCGACAGCTGGGGGCGACGGGCGATTTCCAGGGGATTAGGGGCTCGCCGGAGGGAGCTCCCACCGGGAGCCTAAAAGCCTCCCCTTGAATTCGGTCACCTGGGATCACGTCAGAGCCTCTTTCATCCCAAAGGACCCCATAAACCAGAACAATTTAAGTAGCCGAACCACAAAGTAGCTTGCACAGGACAGCGATGCGTTTCTTAGTGCTAGCTTTTGCTCAAAGGTCTCCTCTCCCTAATGTGAAACTCCTAAAACCAAGACCTTGGCCAACGTCCTCGGCCACCCTGGGCTCCCCTGGCTCCAACGGGGACGAGCTGGTGGCAACCAAGTCCCCTCCCAGCGTCGGCACCACCTCGCGCTCGGGATTTGGATCAAGAGGGAGACAGCGTTAACAATCTAATCCCTATTTTTAGAAAGCCGGTCCTCTGCTGAGCGTGTATTTGGCAATCCCTCCAGCTGCATCACCAGCAGCGAGAGACCTTTGGGGATGGATT